TTTAGCCTGGCCGGTGTGGCTCAGTGGTGGTGTTGACCCATGAACCAGGAGGTCACAATTTGATTCCAGGTCAGAACAAATGCCTGGGTTTCAGGCTCGATTCCCTGCAGGGGGCCTGCAGGAGGCAGCCTATCAATGATTCTCTCATCGTTGATGTTTCTATCTCTCTCTCTTCTTTTCCCTTCCTCTCTCTGAAAGAAAAATATTAAATAATAATAATAATAAAGTTTTAAGTTTTTTTGTTTTTTTTTAAATGCACCCTGCCAACCAAAGGTTATTTTTTTTGAAAGGATAAGGGATTGAGGCAGATAACGACTTAAGTAAACCCTTCCTAACTGCTCCACCTCTAGCTTCTTACCATTTCAATAAACTTTATTCTAAAGTTTATGTCCTTTCTTAAGGATTTTATGTCCCTTGTTAAAGCCGTTTTAAGGTTGTTATCCTGACATTTTCAGGACTGAAAACAAAATGGAAAACATGATCCTGTGTTTATACAAAATCCTGCTTAAAGTTTGGCAGGTCCTCAAAAGGTTCAACACGGAATAACCACATGACCCAGCATTACTACTCCTAGCTATATACTCAAAATTATTAAAAACACATGTCAACACAGAAACTCCTACACAAATGTTCATAGCAGCATTAGTCGTAATTACCCCACAGTGGAAACAGCCCAAAGTCACAAACTAGAAGGCGGTCCAGTGGAATATTACTTGGGCATAAAAATGAATGAAGTCTGATACGTGCTATGACAGGGATGACTCTTGAAAATATTTTACTAAGGGAAAGATACCAGACATCAAAGACCACATATTATCTGATTTAAATGAAACATCCAAAATAAGTAAACCACAGGGTCAGAAAATAAATCAGTAGTCATCTGAGACTGAACTGGTGGGGAGGGTGGGGAGGAGGAGTGACTGCTAATGGGCACAGGGTTTCTTTCTGGAGTGATGAGAATGTTCCAAAATTCGGCCGTGGTGATGACTGCACAGCTATGTAACTATACTACATACCACTAAGTTGTACACTTTAACATAGTGAATTATATCTCAATTAAAAAAGAAAATACAAACAAAACAAAAAATCCTGCTTAAACTAGAGGGAAATGTCTTTTGTCTTTTTCCCCCGGGTTTATCCTGGAACAATAATTTTGCCTTGGCAAAGTCTCTCCTCGTATGTTGAGGCTTGTCCGTGGCTGACCTCTGATTGGCAAAGTGTTACATATCACTCAGCAATCTTCTATTAGAAAGTGTAGAGGAGCAGGCAGGGAGGAGGCACCAGCATCGCTCAACAAGCACAACAGAGGAGCAAACCGCTGGGCAGCTGCATGCCTTCCCCAGAGTCAGGGGTCGCTGCTTTGAGATCAGTGTGCACTCGGTAAACAGAAGATGTTGCTAACTGCAACGTACCATTTTCTCCTTCCCCCAAATAAACAAACATCTGGGGTTTGCCTGTACATCTCTTTAAATATTAACATTTTCAAAATGTTAAGGGGCATCACTGGCTTCAAGTGTTTCTATATTTGAGAAACATATTTACAAGGTTCTGGACCTTTAAGAATTCATATTTTCATCAGCTCTGCTCCTAGCCTTCATCTCTACAGACCGAAACATCCTCACGATTTGGGTGTCTTCATAGGGCAGCCTGTCCCTCCATGACCTTGACCTCTGGGCAATGGGCCCTCCATCAATACATGCCTGGGTTTCAGGACCAGAGCTACACACAAGACCAGAGCTACATACAGCACATGCAACACTATTTTGTATGAACACAAGATCACATTTTCCATTTTATTTACAATATCAGAAACTGCATCATAATGCTTAGCAGGAGATGTGACTAGACCAAAGAAAGCAAAATTTTTTATTAAACTAAGCATCCATTGAACTTCATGCATAAATAAGTATTGTGCATAAAATTAATGCTAAGAGAACTTCAAGAAACTGCCAGCACTCTCATCGCTTCTTTAACTCCTCTTTGGGGGAGTTAAACGCCAGGTGAAAAGTCAAACCAAACCACAATTTATCCACCTTATAGTCACACCTTAATTCTAATTTTTAAAACTGGCATTAAAACCGTGACATCTCTGGCTTTGTGTGACCGGCAACTCTGTCCTAAAGCAACCCCTAAGAATAAGAATTTGCCACCAAGCGAATTTCTTGGAGAGTAAATCTAGATGAGGAGCTGTCAAACTATAAAATAAAACCCTTAGTGATGACCCTAAAACCATAAACTCTTTTGGAGGCATTAATTTTGATCCTTGTTTTCAAAGATTACTAAGTAAAAACTACACACAATTATAACTTCACTAGAGGCCCGGTGCATGGATTCGTGCAGGGTGGGGTCCGGCTGGCCTGCCTCAATGGGGGCCAATTGAGCCAGGCCAGCCCAAGGGGAGGGGATACAGGCTGTTGGCCGGCTGGCCCAGCCCCCTGGTCAAACTCCCAGTCGAGGGGAAAATTTGCATATTAACCTTTATCATATAGAAAAATTTGCATATTAACCTTTATTATATAAAATTTGCATATTAACCTTTATTATATAGAAAAAAATATGAACACACAAATAAAGACAGAGGATCTAGTAAAAGGAAAAATAATAAAGTGGATCTTCCAAAAATTTCCTTTTAGTTACTGTCAGACCGTTACTACAGTAAAAAAGGAAGATGCATCGTTCACCTTCCTTAATTGATAACCACTCTCCTCCTACACAATGTTCCAATACCTCAAGAGTCCGCCACAACTCCCACATCCCTTCTAGGTCAAGGCCCCTGACCTTGAGCCTGTCTGCACACAAGGATGTGAGTTACTTTTCCCAGGGTGAACTCACCAAACACCTGCCCACACAATGGCTCAGCTGACTTTTCTACCCACTCACACAGCTTTATAAGGCCCCTTCCTTCTCTTCCTCCTCTTGGTATTTCCCGGAGCAAAAAGGCTACGTGTCGCTTAGTGTGAGATGACTTACAAAAATAGCAACTTCAGCTAATCCCGGCACTAATCCCCGAGCCGTCATGATCTGTGCCTCTATCTGGCAGGGCCACTTGCATCCTTGTTTGAATCCTTATGTCCAAGATAGCTCAATAGACAAACAAAACATTTCTCAAATACACAATGACTCAGGGCTCTCTCTAATGAAAACAAGAAGCAGGTGGCGTGCTTCCGACGTGCGGAGCCCTGCTAAACCCTTTTCTGAGAAGCTGAGGATCCCTACCCAAAACTGTATCTGGCTGGGATTCTAGAATTTACGCCTGTGGCCATTACTCTTTGAAAATAACAATGCTTACTTTTTAAAGTGCATTTATACAAAAAGCCCCATTTAAGCCTCTAAACTGCAGCTGAGGAATGAAGGTGAGAACGACCCTGAGATGTGAAGGGTGGGGTAACATGCCCGGGGCCTCTGAGCGAGGGTCAAGGCCAGAGCTAGACCCTACACGGCCTACCAGATCCATGACCTTTCACTGTGCCAAGCCGCCCTGGCATCTAACTAAGCCACCTAGAAACAGTGGCTGCCAGGGGTTTCCTAGACCACATGTGTCAAACACAAGGCCCGCGGGCCAAATCCGTCCCGCCAGGCCTTGCAATGTGGCCCGCACCGCGCTGTCATCACTGCACTCCGCTGCGTTTCCATCACAATGCTAGACAATGACACAGAAGACAAGGCTACAAATCATTGGAATTGGGGGGAAAGCTACCTTCTCTCAACAAAGTAATACTGCCTAATTGAGCCACCTGCACATCCACCTTTTGACACCTGAGGACTCTGGTATGTGGATACTGGGTAACAGAAGTGGTGAACGAGAAACAACTGTGGGCTCTGCCGTCAGAGAGGCCTGGACCGAGTCCCACCGAGAGAGCCTGAGCAGGCTACTCCTCACCCACAAAACGACGCTACCTACCTTGGGGCAGGCCGTGTTCAGCACAGAGCTGCTGTGCCCCTCTGTTCGTTTCCTTACATCACAATGAACTCAAGGGCCTGCAGAGTCTCCAGGGTCATCAAACAACCATCCTTACTCTAAACGTGTGTCCCTTCAGAATGCCATGGTCTCACATGGAATTTGCGGGCAGGAAAAAAGCGCTTTTCCAGGGAATTAGCACTTGCCCTGAAACCTGCATTAACTACATCCTCCCATAAAATAAAATAAAAAAACACACAAAAAAAACATTAGCCGGAACCAGTTTGGCTCAGTGGATAGAGCATCAGCCTGCAGACTGAAAGGTCCCAGGTTCGATTCCCGTCAAGGGCATGTACCTTGGTTGCAGATACATCTCCAGCAGGGGGTATGCAGGAGGCAGGTGATTGATGTTTCTTTCTCATCGATGTTTCTAACTATCTCTCTCTCTTCCTCTCTGTAGAAAATCAATAAAATATGTTTAAAAAAACATTATTCATAATAGCTAAAGCCCATGTGTCCATCGATGAGTGAATAAATAAGCAAAATACAATATATACATATAATGGAATATAACCCGGCCTTAAGGAGGAAGAAAATTCTGACATCCTACAGCATCGAGGAGCCCTGAGGACATGGTAAGTGAAGTAAGTCAGACACAGAAGGACAAATACTGTATGAGTGCACTCATCTGAGGGACGTAGAGCAGTCAGACCCATGCAGACAGAAAGCGTGCGGTGCCTGCCAGAGGCTGGGGAAGAGGGAACCAGGAGCCATTATTTAATGGGTACTTAAGGGGTTTCAGGTTGAGAAGATGCAGAAAGTTCTGGAAACGGATCGTGGTGAGGATGGTACCACACTGTGAGTGTACTTAATGCCAATGAACCACACGGTTAAAAAAGGTTAAAGTGATGAATTTTATGTTACACCTATTTTACCACAGTTTTTAAAACAGGAAATATAGCTGGTCCCTCCTCGGGGCCTTGCACGCCGGTTCCTGGAGTCTGGGCCATGCCTTGCCTCCCCGCTGCCCTGGCTCTTGCCCTCAGCCTGCCCTGGCTCGTGTGTCCCCATCACGCACGTGTCCCACCTCGAGGGCACTCACCAGGCCGCAGGTTCACGGCGATCTCCTGTGGCGTCATCTGAATGACGTCGGAGCCCGCGTAGCTGGAGCCCGTGCTGCTGAGAGGCAGGCTCCGCAGAACCTGGGTGGCGCTGGCCGGGCTCTCAAACTCCCCTTCGCAGCCGTTTCTGACCAGGTTTGCCTTCAGGTCACACCGGGAGGCGACCGACCGCAGGCTGCCGAAGTTCTAGGCAAAGAAACAGGAGGAGAGCAGGAAGTAGTCGGGGGTCTCTCCAGAACACCTCAGGCTGTAGGACCATCACCGGCTGGTTGACCTTGAACCCTCTACATTCCACCTTCGTCGGCTGAAAACGGAGACGTGACCATCCCTATCCCAAATGCCTCACCAGGGGTTAAGAGGACTGAGGGGCTGGCGATGAAAGCATTTTGTAAGCTGTAAATACACAATACAAATGTTTGGTTTCGTGGTTATTTTAACGGACAAAGGGGCTCCTTTAAAAATGTGCCTGTCTACATGATGAGCGGGAGAGGGCCACTGAAATGGCCCAAAGTTGTGAAACTATAATTTTAGGAAAGATGTACGTGTCCATGTTGGTCATCACTCAGGCAACCAAGAGTAAACCTCTGAGCTGTCCACTCATCCATCCCGCCTATTCCGCAGCGTGTGACATTGGGCAACATGGAGACAGCAATGTCGCAATATATACTGTGTCCTCTGGCCTAGAGGTCCTCCCCCAGGAATTCACCACAGAAGCTAATCAAGAGGGAGGGAAAACTATCTGACATGGACTGCTGTCATTTAGAACAGCACAATCTCATTAATGTATAAACCTAAATCCCTGAACGGTAAGAAAAATACATACAGTAGGTCCTGGGGCTACATCAGAAATCTGTTCCGATTTTCGCCGTAACTCAGAACCCACCTTCATAAGCACCTACGTCCCTCACACGGAGCACAGACACAGCAGGAATGAAGTGAGGCGGTAAAAAAATTTAAAAGCTAGCAATTCCTTACCTTTACTTGTGGTAAATAAGTAATAAAAAACATAAAGCACATATGCACACATGTCAAAACGACGGTACTTTTTTTTAAGTAAATGGGAGGTGGCAACATAACCACGAAACGACATACATCTTGTCCCACATAACCCAAGGACTGCGTGTATATCAACTCAATAGATGACAGTCATTGTCAATGATTATGAAGGCTAAGTAGAAATTTCAAAACATTCATGCTAGTAAAAAAAGATCAGAAAATATGATTGTATCTGCACTAGGATTCAAAAGAAAAACTTTAAAATGAAGATAGCTGAGGTATTAGGATAAACTACCCCGAACTGTCCTTTATTGCTTTTTGGACAACAAAGCCACATTGATGAGAAAAATATTTCTTAAGATGAACCGAGGAGAAGGGGCCATCAGGACAGCCCAACCCAAGGTGGGCACCAAGCACCTGGGCTGTTAACGTTAGCAGGAAATAATAAACTTTGTTTTAATATATGGTGACCGTACGTGTGGCTCCTTTCCCAGGAATGACGTTTTTAAATGGCAAAGCAAGCCCAGGGCTCTTGCTGAACGCCCTTCCGCTGACAGACGCGGGGACGAAGGTCACCTCCCGCTGCGGCTCCTGGAGAGGCTGGAGAGGCAGCGCCCTGACCCGCCTCCCGGGGCTCTGACCGGAGCCTCTGTGGGCGGAGTGTCCCTGGCCTGCTGTGTGGGGAGCCAGGCTGCTGGCAGAGGCTCCTGCCGTCCTGGTCAAGGATGTCCTGAGGCCAGTCTAAGTCTGGGAGTCTTTGCGAGATTCAAAACCAAGAAGAAAGACTGTGTAGAATTCTTTAAATAAGTATTGATAAAACCAGATGTGTTGTTCTGGGCTTATGAGTTTTCTTGGGGGGTGTGTGTGTGTGTGTGTGTGTGTGTGTGTTTACAAGTGGACTCTCTAATTTTCTGTATCAAACCCTTGGAGGTCTTGCCTATGAAAACCTCAGGGACTGCGCTGTAGATATAACCGCCTCCATAGCCCCTTGTGGAACACGATGGGAGGCATGAGTACTCTGGCTTAAAATGATTACCCTTTAAATTTTATGATTCCATGCCAGGGTTTTCAAACCTGCGCTCCAGCGGGCAGGTGTGGCTCTGGTGTAGCAATTCTAATGAAGCAGTACAGCAGCCAGGCCGGGGGGAAGGGGAGTCCGCCTCGGAGGGCCCCGCACCGACCGGTCTGCCTCTGGCACTGGCAGAAGCAGAGGTGTAACCCGCTGCCCAGAGAGGGACGGGCTCAGGGCCTGCCTGCTCAGAGCTTACCCGGCTAGTCGCCACCTGGTGCTCCGAAAGGTCCTAAAGCTTGGCAGCCACTGGGCTAGGGTTTCTGAACTCCTGGCTGACACATGGGGCCTTGCTGCCAGGCCTCCAATGCGGAGGAGCCGGTTATCCTTGGCCCAGTTCTGATTGTCAAGGTGCACCCGCCTCGACCAGTCCCACAGATCCCTGCCATCAGGTTGGCAAGGAGAGCATCTTCGGTCTCCCCAGAGTGACAGGAACCCCCGCTGTCCCTCCCAGGGCCTCAGCAGTTTGCATTGTGGAGCAGACGAGGCCACAGAGCCGATCTGCTTCGCTCCAATCTGCGTTACTCCTCACTCACAGCCTCAGCCTTTCGCAGTCAGGCTGGTCACCGAGATCGTCCCCGATGGCCCGGACCTTCCCGGCCAGCCTGCTCAAAGGGCTTTCAGTAGACACCACCAGCCCTTGACGGAGGGCTTGTCCAAGGCCGCCTGCTGGCCAGGAAGATGGACCTGCCGGCGTCACCAGGAGACTCAAAGTCCAGGGCAGACCTCCCACACCTGTGGCTCTCCTTGCCACACCCGTGCCAGTTACCACCTTATCTGTGTAGCTGGCTTTCCCAGCTGCACTCTGGGCCTCTTTAGTCTCTAGGATGTTAGGAGCAAAGCCTCTTCATGCCCTCAATGCTAGCGTTTCCCCTCTTTCTCCTTCACATCATTCTTCAAGGCTGTGGTAAAGCCTCAGCTCTGTGTGCATGGCTTCCCCGAAGTGTGCTGCCAGCACGGAGGACCGTGAACTCCGGCCTTGCCGCCTGGTTCCCGGCGTGAGAACTACCACTGACCACATCCAATGTGCAACCTGCAGGATGGCTTCAGAAGTGCCAGCCGAGGCAGCCATGGTCAGTCCAGCAGCCGCCTTTCCAGCAGCTCCGGCATCAGGACAGGAAGAGACATCTCTTACGGCACCCGCGCCCAGGTTAGAGTTAGTCTCAATGCCCTTCCCCTCCATCATCGGTTTGTCAAAATCCTAGTTCACAAAGTTCAGTGCTTTGCTCCTCGGGGCAGGCCCAGAGGTTTTACTGATGTGCTCGACAGCCTTTGAGACATCCTTACCTACATATCAAACCTTCCAGAGCTTTGGGGCCTCAAGGACACCCCCCGGGCACGGCAGGTCAGAGGAGCCCTGTGAAGGTAAGGCAGCTACCTTAACAGTGGGGTTCCCGCTGCAGTTGAAGGTCCCTGTGCCATGGAGTCTGATTTCTAGCCTTAGGTTCTCATTGCCTAAGTAAAACACAGAGAGTGCTGCTGACTTCAGACCATGTTCACCCCACAAGCCCAATAACTTCTCCTCTCCTCCCCTAAGCTCCTTTCTAGTTCACTTGAGGGCTGGCTTTCCCAGCTGCACTCTGGGCCTCTTTATTCTCTAAGATGTTAGGAGCAAAGCCTCCATCCCTAGTGGGGGTCGTTAGAGAGAAGAAACCAAGACCACAGAGGCAAGGAGCATATACTGCGATGGTTATGACCTTTCAGATACACACACTCGTTATAAAGACAGCGTCTCAATACTTGCAATGCCAAGCTTCAAATTCACTGAGAGCGGATGCCCCCGTGGTAAACCTTTGGAGAAAGGAAGACGTGCCGAAGAAAATCCTCTCACATGAGTGATATCCCAACGCGCTGAGAGCCTTTCTATCCCAGCCACCTGGCACCTGGACCCTCCACCGGGTGGGAACACAGCACGTCCCAAGGGAAGGGGACCATGAAGCCAGCCCCTCACTTCTGCGGGTGGGGCGTCAGAGGCCCCCTGCCTGAGCCCATGCCTACGTGGCCTCAGCTTCTTGGACCAGCGTCCAGCATTGTTTGTGTCACCGCCCTCGCATCTCAGCCAAGGCCGCCGCTGAATGCCACAGCAGAAAACTAACTGGCACACAGATTCCGCGCCTCTGCATTTAATATCTCCTTGCTGCCCCAGATGCAGGGAGCTTCCTGCCTCCTATCACACTTGGAGGATAAATGTCCTCTTTGTGCAGAAAAATGAGTATGGAAGGTGGGAGGGGGGAACTTTATCTCAACACGGAAAACAGGAAACTAGCCCCAGCTGGTTTGGCTCAGTAGATGGAGCACCAGCCTGCAGATTGAAGGGTCCCAGGTTCGATTCTGGTCAAAGGCACATGCCTGGGTTGCGGGCTCCATCTCTAGTGAGGGCATGTAGGAGGCAGTTGACCGATGATCCGATGATATTTCTCTCTCCTCCTCTCTGAAATTGATGGGAAAAAAAATTTTTTTTTAAAAAGAGAATAAAATTGGAAACTAGCTTCAGGATGGGCCTCTGATGGGCTCAATGGCTTGCACGTGCTCCATGCTGGAGAGGTTTCCATTCATGAAGGAACCTCTGTCCGTGGCCTCCAGAACCTCGTCACCAACTCCCCAATGGCCTCATACGGGGTGACCGCATTACAGGCCGAGAGAAGCGACAGAATGGGAACAGGCACTCGGAACATCTTTCGTGGCTTTCCGTCTCTATCTGGTAACAACAACAACAAAAAAAGGGAGGTGCTCCAGATTTAGATCCTTTTAATTTGCTACAACACTGGCCTCTGCGCCTTGTTATAACCCGCCCCTCTCCATTCCCTCCATCTCCCAATACCGGAGCACATAATGAGGCTCGCTGTGTATTGTAACCCTGTAACACCTGACGCCCTGTACACTCTGTTAATCAAATCTCTCTTCCTGCAGGCAAGGCCAGGGCCCAGCTGGCTCTGAGCACAGCCGTCTGGCATCTCAGCCAGCGCATTTTGGCCAGTGCACTCAGGGCCATCTCCCTGTGCCACACCAGTCATTACATGTTATCTGCAGACCACCCCGCCTACTCCTGCTAAAGGCTAAGATGCTAAAGAGATGTGGGTGGCTGAAACTAGTTTGGCTCAATGGATAGAGTGTCGGCCTG